CCTTTATAAAGGCAACACTTGCTAGCCTCCTCGTACCATTACTAGAGGGGCTTAAGATAAGGATTTTACTTTTAGTTACATAAGGTAACATATATTATTTGAGCATAACTCTAGTTTATGCATAACTTTAGTCTATGTTGTGATATTTTTGCAGGACTCATCGAGACCCATTAAGAACTTTATTATGTGATTGGTTTCTTAGTATTCAATGATAGCTTGGAGAAATATACCCTTACTGATTATTGATTATACATTAACTTTATTATGAATTGTTAAATTTGATACATTTTTGGTGTATTTTGTTAAGCGTGTCTTTACTCCAAATCAATTTATAATTGATGTATTGTTTCAACATAAAATATACTAGCTCTAATATAGAGGAAAAGTGCATTTCGTATCCAAGTAACCACGATTTCATTACACAATATCTAGTGGTTCCTTTGTAGATTCGCTGGATCTTTTGGTTTTACTAGGGTTCTATATATAAACCTTAGTTTGTTATAAATACTCAACGCACATCACATGGATCTTGCCCATGTATAATAGTTGTTTCTGTCAAGCAACAGAGGGATCAAGACCGCGCTTGAGTTTAGAGTTTTATCGAGGTAGTATGGTTTATCTAAGAAGGATTTAGACTCATCTCTGTTAAGGGTTCAAGGTTTCAATTTATGGTAGTTTGATGTGAGTTCTAACTTTTCATAATCACCGACACTCTGATGCCATGCAATAAATCCAACTTTTGGTCTTTAACTTTGCAAGAAAATGATGTTTTCTTCGTAGAAATCTTTTATCATGCAATATATTCAAATAGTTAAATAAAAAAGTAAGAAAATACATTTGGCTCCGTCAGAGATGCACTCGCCGTTATGTCCCACAAAAAGAAATTTTTTTTAGGGCTTTCTGTATCTGTTGGCCGAAAAGAATAGAAAAGCTAGGGTTTATGAGAATGAGAGATTTTTATACATTGGTTGAACATGTATATATACTATAATTGTACCATAACACATACTACAAGGGTTTAATGGAACACACATTTTGAAATTTGGGTCTCCCGTGGATATGGGCTTGGTTAAATGCACGCTTGGGCTCACAAACTCTCTCAAGCCCAACAACACATTTTTCTTTTTTCCCAAGGTTTGTATAAAAGGTTTTTTTTTTTTTTTAGTAAAAATTAGAGATAGGGGGTGATGTTGAGTGCATGGAAAAAATGAAAGGGAGTGGGGGGATTTTTCATTTTTCTTTTGCGAGTGAAAAATAAAAAGCAAGCAAAAAGGGAGAGTGAGTCGATTAAAAGCTGATACAAAGGATAAAGGGGAAGGATCTTTGGAGGAATTCATTTTGTGTTTTTAATGAGTCAAAAACAGGAAGTGAGGTAACTGATATAAAGATTAAATATTTTTTTGTATCTTTTTTACTATTTTTTGCAAACTAAAATTTAGATTTATACTTAGGATTATTTGATTAACATAGAAATATTTTTATGTATTTGATTATAAAGATTGAAGGTAAAAAGTTTATGAAATAAATGATTCAAGCTAATTTTCTTTGAGGCTTTCTTCCCATTTGGTTTAAATTTTATTTTTAGTATTTCAACTATTTTTTTTATTCCAGTTACTTGTTATTGCATATATATGTTACATTTAGCCATATTCATATTTTGTTTAATTTGAGTGAGTTTTATTTTTAGTTAGATGGTTTAGCATGTTAATTATTATGACATCATGAATCATTTTTTAAAGCAATTAAAGTTTGACAAAGAATGAAAATTTCATAATTTTTACTATTAAGTTATTCCTATTAATATAGATAAAATAAGGTACCATTATAATAGCTCATATCTGTACTCGTTTATATTATCTAATTAATATTCTTTTATACGCTCGTTTATGTTTTTATTCTCTGTCTACTATATAGAAGCTAATTTTGCTACATTTTGAAAGGTTTTTCTAATGGTATTTCTAGACTAATTGCAAACAAGAGAGGCTAACTAGTTAATTCCCAATACATATCTTATCTATTTGGATTGTATTCAAGTAGTTTATAAGTAGAGTTTGCATTGGCTTATTTATTTATTTATTTAATAAATTTGGGGTATATTTATTAATTATTTCATTGAAGATGTAGCACCTGGAAAGGAGGGGAAAAAAAAAAAAAAAGGGGCCACGTCAGCAGCCACGTCAGCAGGCCCGGTCAGCAGTCCCGGCCAACCAGGGCCTGCCACGTGGCAAGACCGCGTCACTCCGAAAGGAGCCACGTTGGCGATCCGCGTGGGTGCGATCCGACGGCCCAGATCAATCGCGCGATCGGACGGTCCAGATTCAATCGCACGGACGGCCCAGATTCAATCAAAAACGAACGGTTCAGATTAAAACGAAATGAACGGCTGTGATCAAAAGGCAAGGGGTTATAAATAGAACCCCCACACCAGACCACAAACCCTAGCCGCCAGCCGCTCGCCGGAGAAGACGAACCAGAGGCCGACCGCCGCCACCCGCCGCCGCACCGGGGAAATTTCCGACTGCCGATCGAGGTAAATTTCATACCCCCGACTCGTTTTTCCCCACTGATTCCTCCTATGGCCAAATCGAGGCCGAAATCCCGGCCAAACGGCCGGAATACGCGGCCGAAGCCCAGCGGCGCCGCCGCGCCCCCTCTCGGTTTTTGCCTCCGACGAGGCCCTTCCCGGCCTCCGTTCGATGCAATTTTTATATCACCGTGATCACCAT